TTCAAAATTTAAATAAGAAATATCGTAACAAAAATTTTATTTGTTCAATAATTGTTTAACATATCTTTAAAAAATATATTTTTTATAAATAAATAACATACATATAAATATATAGAAGTAAAATTATTACAGTTTAATGCATTACTTTATACTTGTTTGTGTTTGTCTAAAAAAAAAAACTAGAAAACCAATTTTGTATTGCACTACATTCCTCCAAAAATATTTTAGTTTGAATGTACATTAAAATTGTATTTAAACAAATAAATTTAATCATTAGTGTATGTACATATGCTTATACGCGCTCGCACACGCATTCGTACACAAAAGAGTTTATTTTTATTTCATAATGTATTATAAATACGAAATATATTACTTGGTCCTTTAAACGTCGGTATAGTTTTTATTACTTACTCACTATCAACTGGATGGAAAAGTTAAAAGTTTGGAAAAAAAAATGGAAATGTTAAAAGTTGCATTACAATGTATAAATAATTTGTTTTTGTCACCCTTTTATTATAAATAATTACCTGAAATAATTTTTGTTACTTTTTAATAACAGTCAACGTAGAAAGTTATTAAAACATATTGATTTTGTATTATTAAATTGCTGTTATCATTATTAAAAATTAATGACTAATTGAACCAAAATTGGTTTTCTTCAATACTTCATTAGAAATTAAAAGTAGTTTATAATGTCATAAGTAATATAGTCTATATTGTCCTGAAAAAAAAAATATTTAACCAAGATGATATAAAATTACAGAACAATAATTTATAAATTTTTCATATTACATTCATATATTTTTACAAACGTAATGTTTTAATACTATGTATAAAAAATCTAAGCAACATTAATCTATAACATTTTGATGCTTAAAATATTAATAAAATTATTATAATAAAATATAATTTAGCATTTCCACTAAAAAAAAATTTTATTTTAATAAACGAACTCTATGCAAACATTCAGAACTTTAAATGTAAAAGCGTAAAGCATATAGTTAATCATTATTTGTAATCATCATTGTAATACTTTTTCAATTAATATTTAAAATAATGTTCTTTGATAAGCTTAAGTGATTTAATAATCAAATCTCTCGAAAAATTATAGGATTTATTTTGTATATTGAAGATTAATCTTGATTAATAATTTATCTTACTAGTATGTATTATCTAAGTTTTAAAGCTAATATTATACCGAATATTAAAATAACAATTATAGTAGTGCACTTATTCAATTTTGGCTTTAATCAATAGATCAAAATGTGACGCTTCCGTATACCAAAATCGTCTAAGAACTGTGAATCTTTTAAAGGCTCGGAAGTGAAAAAAGATGTGATACTAATAGACAAGAATTATAACCATCGGTCTACGTAAGTATGCACTTTGATCGTGATGATTCATAAACCGACTAACCGACTGCCAATGATGCATGTATGTGTTCTTAAATTAACTAAACGCTGAAAATAGGACACAAACATTTATTTTGAGCAAAAAAATGTTGTAGCCACTTAATTATAAATAAAATAGCAGTTTAATTAACATAACTTTGTATAACTTTTAATTTAAAGTGCTTTGGAATTTCAGTAAAATTTACAGATAATTAAAAACTCTCGTAAATATTTATAAGAGTTTTATTATATATTACGATTGTATAACATGGTTTAGAAATGAATGCACATGATTCATTTTATTGACATTTATAATTTTTATAAAAATATTTAATCTCAATTTAATATAAATGGCTATTTATTTAAACAAAATTCTAATATGTATAATTAATTTAATGCGATAATTTTATAATGAATTATGAAACAGCTAAACACTATTCGGTCTATTGAAGAAAAGTAAAGTAAACTAGTAATCAGTTTGATACAATATTTTTCAAAATTAATGATTAATAATTTATTATCTCTTATTCGTATAAAAAATAATTATTAATAATTTCGTACCATTGATTCTTTCACATATAAAAAAGCGTAAAATATTTTAATACTTGTCAATTACTTTATACAATACATGATTTACAAAATGATTTACATTCATAATTGACAATACATAATGTACATAATCACATGATCATATATATATGGATAAATTTTACTTTTATTATTAAAATATTATTTTCTTTGGTATATTACATATTGTTAATAAGCAAATAAAATATTTGAACTAAAAATAAATTATATTATTCATAATAAATTATAGAAAGTCAATTTAAACAAAGAACTTATATTTAAGATATGAATGTTTTAAAAATGATAAATTTATGAAAAATTATGATTTGCAAATTATGATGATAATTTAATATATTAATACTGTATATAAACACTATTTTCAGCACAAAAATTAATTTCTGATAGATAATATATTTTTCCACAAGTAAAAAATAATACGAATTTGAGTTATCAATTTGATTTTTATTATAGATAGTTCTGCACAATGAACACATTTACATTTTTATTTAATTTTCATAATATATTGTCTTTCTAGTTGATATAATCTAGAAGCTACCACCCAACACATATGTAGAACAACGATACTAATCTAATTTTTAACCGATTTGTTTTTTTATTTACCTTATTTTTACATTAATAAAATTTAAACGAAAAAACAAGTGTTAATTGCTTTTATATACTTGTGTATTTTATGATAAATTACTTTTTATATACTAATGTTTTTTATATACATTTGTATATTTCATTTTGAAAACTATCGATATTTTACAGTAATCTACTTGCGATCAATAAATATGTTATTTAATTATTTATGTGAATAATTGATTGAGTAAATAGTTGAAAGTTTATTTACTTGTTTAGTTGATTAGAAGTTTGATTGACCCAATATTTTACAGTATTTGGTTTTAACTTTATAGTTCTTGGACAGTTTAATAAAATTAATCGATATAATATAAAATATATAATTTTACACATAATATAAAACGTAAAAATATTAAATACATACGAAATAATTGAATTTCGGAGTAGAAAAATTTATAAATTTGTGTACTCCATAAAGACTTTTAAAATACAATATAGCAATTAATATAGAAAGAATTTATGGATATGTTATTTCAAAAGAATAATTACAAAATTGGATGCTATCATTCAAGATTATTGTCTTATTACCCGCTAAAATCGATAAATTTTTGTTAGTTAAAGAAATATAGAACGCATTTTTATGTTCATGTAAGTTAAGCACATTTACTTTATACAAATATATGATAATTATTTTTTTCACTCACATTTATGCATTGATATTTATTTAAAGTAGTAATAAACTATAACAACATATTTCCGTAATGAACAAAGCTATTATTTAAATAAATATTATTACATATTAAAATATAGACCTCAAAAATATTATTTTTCTTAAGCAAACTATTTCATAAGCTTTTATACCCATTGTAAATAAAAACATCTAAGATTATTTATACATGTGTTAAGTCAATTTTCATAGTTTCTATTCAATAAACAACACGTAAAATGTGCGTGCGACCGGGTAATAAAATCGCAATCTAACAAATCTTATTTCTCAATGTTATGTTTAGCTGTATTTATTGATTTACTGTTTCTTTCTAAATTTCCTTATATATAAACAACGTATAAACAAGTATAAGAATCAATGCATTGAATCGTTACTTTCTGTATAGATTTGTTTGTACTTTTTTTACCTTTGCACTTTTAAATTTTGCCAAAAAAATTGATTAATTTCAAAACTTAATGGCAAATATTTGTTAAATTAATTGTTTTCCAAACATGTTTATTGCTATATTTTTTATTTTATAAAAGTGCAATTAAATAAATTTTTAATGTGAAAATATTTGCTTCACACTTAATTATAAAAGAAAGTAATTATAATTATAATTCAATTCAATTTTCAAAATTATTTTTGTAAATTATTAAATTTTATTATACTAAATTTAATATATATATATATATATATATATATATATATATATAAAAGTAAGAAAATGAGAAAAATATATACAAATTTTAATAATCAATTCAATAGTTTATTTAATATAAATATTTCTTTGTAGTTGGTTTTAAAATCAAATTATGCATAAATATAATCTAGATAATTTAAATAAGTTTCCATGAGTAAACAAATAAAAAAAACGACATTATATTATTATCGAATCATTTTAATATTGTTTTTAGAATATTAAAAACCATCTTTGCCGTTTCTATGTAATCATACATGGAAATGATGAATTATTTATTATAATTGATACATTGTAACGGACAGATATTTTATTCATCGTCATAAGATTATGGTGGATAATGAAGAATATAACACATTTAAAATAATGTATTTTAATAAAAGATTATAAGAATTAAAAAAACAATACATTAAAAGTTTTTTTATTTTTATATATAATTCTGTTATTATAGCATATATTCTTGAATATATTATGTTATTGTATGTAAAATGTGTGATTTTATTAATATGACAATAATTCACAATAAAACGTTAATTAGAATCGTTTCGACAAGGAAGTCAGTGTATACTTATTTGCTATACGAAGAACACTTATTTAAGTTGACGTAACTAAAGCATATGATTTTGAATTTTAATATTTTATTTTTGAACTTTATTTCTATTTAAAAAATAATTAAAGAAAATACATACAATCTACATCACTATTCAAATTGAAATTAATGATTAACTAACTACAGTAATGGTATATTATTTTAATTATATCAGGAATATAACATTTTGTACAATTTACTCATTTTTAACATCTTATGTATCACAACAGTCACATGTATAGATGTACAGAAATCTGTGATATATGCTGTAAATATGCACTTAGCAAATGAGAAAAATTGCTTTTTCATATAAAACTCATAAGATTTATTTTAATTCTTGTATGAATTTACTTTACCTCCAAATCTCAAATGAGTAACTTTACATTATAATTGTTGTAACAGAAAAACTGTTATGAAAAACAAAAATGAATGCTATAGCAACATTGTCATAAACTTGTGTTTCAGGACCGTTTGGCGGGCCATGGTAGTATTTCGTCACTTGGTGGCGGTAATAATTCGTCATACTCTGGAGCTCACCATCATGGGCACCGAGGTAACGGTAATGGGGGAGGTATGCCTCACCATGGCGGAGCCTCACTACCTACAGCGCCGGACTTTCAACCTCCCTACTTTCCACCACCCTTCCCTTCGCATCATCATGCGCCCACCAGCCCCCAACATCCAGGCTTGGGTCAGCCCCAGCATCTGGACTATTTGGTCGGCGACCCTTATACTCAGACCCTCAATACTCTCCATCAACACCATTACAACCATCTCAGCGCTGCCGTTACAGCCGGACAAAGAAGTGGGGATCTCAGGAGGGATACTGACTCTATTCATGTCGTAAGTACAGAATTTTGTTTCTCTTTATATACAATGCATAATACCGTATATCTCCATCAAAATTTAAATCCAAGGATGGACCATGCTTTTCTTTACAATTATTAATAATTATTGTCTTACATTAACTCTTTCCTTAATAAAATATAGTTATTCATGTAAATATTTTTATTTTATGACTAAAACAATAGTTAGAAAAAGATAAAAAAAACAATAAAAAGAAAAATAAAATTCTGTCAATGTATAAATAATACCTAATATTTTAAATAAAAATATAAAAGTTATTTGAACCAAATTTTTAGTCTTTTTTCGTAGACTTAAATTTCTTTAAAGAGATAATGAATAATTATGTAATAAAATTGTAATAAATATTAATAATGGCTCTAGGATGCTATGATTATGGCATACACTAAACAATTATAAAATTATTATAACTCAAATTAAAATTATTCAGTCATGGACTTTTGTACGTTATAGATTGAACTATAAAAATTAAGTAGTAGAATAATTAATTATATTTGTGGCAAATATTAATAATGTTTATAAGATTATATAAGATTTTATGATATTATATAAATAATAATATTATTCAAATTAAAAATTTCGTTTAATATAATATAATAAAAATTGCTATTTTGAAAACCTTTTAGTATTTCATTCTTTTATAAAATTTAGTTCACATTTAACTAATTTTAAATTTACTGTAATTACATAATTATTGATAGGTTCAATGTTATATATAAAAAACATTAAACTATTAAATGGTTAATATCTGATCTCATGGCAAATTTCATAAATTGTTTCCAATTTCGGACTCTCATCCTTCGCCTATATCAATCTCGTAACTTTAAACATCGATCGAACTGACATTGAGATGAGACACTTAGATTTCAGCTATGTTACTTTTACATGTCTTTTATATGTTATAAAACTATAAAATAATTCTATAGACAAACTGAAAAAGTACAATTTCACATAGAGTTACAGTAATGAATGTGTATATATGTGTATTCACATGTGCATATACATATTTAGTAAAGATATAATTGTGAATGTTTAGTTTTCTTACCTTCACCACTTCATTTTTTATTCTTCGTCTTTTTCTTCTTCGGATACTTTACATTCTTAGCTGCACACAGTAATCAGCTTATTAAGTTTCTTTATTCTTTCTTCGTCCTTTGTCCAGACCATCGACATTCTTCAAGATAGGGATCTGGAAAGATGTTGTAAATGTTTACTTTGAAGTATAAAATATACTAAAAATGACGAAATTTGCTAAACTATATCATTTATATAATATAATTATATAATTTATAAAAGTAATTTTATGTTATACAAAGACTGCTTTGCAAAGTTTAAAATTATAATAAACTTTAATTTTTTATATAATTATTTTAAATTTCTATAGTATAGAAAAATCAATAATTAATATATTGTGATTTATATTCAATCTTAAAATATTTGAAACTTATTAATACACGATAATATTAAGGTAATGTACAACTAAAGTTTACAATATTCTAATATTTATAAAAATTAGATAAAACTATTAAACATGTATAATATTATGTCTATTTTTATATATACACAATAAACTATAATTACTCCAAATAATTTGAATCAATACAGATAGACATGTAGGTATAAAAAAGACAACACTAAAATAGTTGATAGTTATCTGTATCCTACAGTCATTTTTATTCATTCAAAAATCATCAGTCATTCAAAAATCTAAAAACAATACTAAAATCTATGCAATAAATCTGTTAGATAATTTCTTACAAATACAATGTAGTAACAATAATTAGTTATTCAAGTGTCTTCAAAGAATATAATAACTAATAAAATCGTTGTTATATCATTTATACTCCCTGTATCATCCAACGATTCAATTATTTGTATTAAATTACTTATTTGTGCTTTGTTTAACAATTAAAACAACATGTATTTTGTCATTTTCACGGTTCATTATATTTGAAGCAAGAATCTTGATATATTCCAAATAATCAATTGACTTTTTAAAAGTTTGATTAGATTTGATTAAAAATATAAATATTACTACCAGATTGTGAAAAAAACGAAAATTAATTTGTTACATATTTATAAATTAATTATTTGCGGTTCACTTATGTTTATTAAATTATACAATTATGCATCATGATTCCATCTACAAAATTTTTAATAAACTTAAATAATCTTTAAATTGTAATGTAAGTGTTTTAATAAAGTAATTACAGATATTTAATAAGTGTTTTCACCGACAGTTCACAATTATTAATGTCTTATCATCACTAACTTCAAATGTTTATTTTAACACTATTGTTATATAAACTTATATAAATTTTACATATAGTAATATATCAATTATGATTTTTAATCGACGGTTAAGCAATATAAATATCTATTACTTAAAAAATTAATTAATTAATAATGAAAGTCTCATCATAAAACATATAAAATTGTCTTTAATTCCATGTGAAATTCCGTTTTCTATAGTTAATGAATGCTTGACTTGAAAAATAATACTATCAACGTTAGTTATAGGAATTAGAAACTAGTTATCAGGTAAGAATTAGCTATACGAAAGAATTCAGTTTTTTTCATTTTTACATGTATTTCCTTTTTATCCTCAAATATTAATGTTTAAAATGCATAGAACACGTACTTTTTTTCTTTTTTGGCAAATTAATTTAATTTATTACTTATTGTAAGCATGCCTGTTTAATTGATAATTATTCGTGTATTCAATAATGCAAAATCTTTTTTTATAATTGATACAGATAAAGTATGTAATTATATTTTTATTTGCTTCGTTGTAATTTTAATGACATTCTTTGATTCGTGCAGATGATAAGATTTTAATTTTAATATAAAATGTTTGATTAATAAGATTTATTTAACAAAAATGGTATTCGCTATTGTTAAATGATATTGTTAAATATTCTTTTAAATCAAGAGACTGTTTATTAATATACTTTTTTATTAGAAAAATTAAAAGAAATTTTTTGTATAATTAACTTCTTAATATTACTTAGTTTACCGCTTCATAAATTTTACTTATTGTCTTAGTGAAAAATAAATTATTGACTAAATTTAATACTAAAATTAAAAATGTTTACAATATAATCACATATTTACATTATATTTATAATTAGACAAATGTTATAAGAACTTTAATCCAAATTTTTAACAACAATTATATTTACATATACATATATATATATATATATATATATATGTAAAGTATAATGAAATTACTATAACGATACTTTTGATCTTGTTTCAAATCAGAATTTATTTAAGAAGAATTTATTTATTTTATTTTATTCATAAAAAATAAGGAATATAGGTAGTATAATATTTTGTTGTTATTTCCGATAAAAGTAATCTGGTAGAAAAATCTATTTTTTATAATACTCAGTATCATACTCACCTTTGTAATCAGCCGAATAATCGTCATTAAGTTTTTGTAAAAGATATTCATTCGGACCATTAAGATTCCTAAAATTGTCTCTTAATCCAGTCCTTTGAATTGATTCTTAGAATACTTTCATGATATATGATCTCTCAAATCCTCTTTTTCTCTTTTTCTCTCTTTTTTTGATAAAAACAGGATATATTAATTTGATAATTTTAAACTAGGAAAATATAGTAATGTGGATCGTAAATCAGATGTATAGATTATTCAAGAAAAAAATTTCATATTAAAAAATAAACATTTTTTAATATATTTGGTTAATAATTAAAACGAAAATTATATTATAAAAATATATTTATAAAATATATAAGAATTAATATTTTTCTAAAACTAAGTTTTTTATTATTTCAAATTTTATAAATTAATAGTATTTTAATTTTTATATGTTAAATTTTATTTATAAGTTGATTCATTTTAATAATACAGGTTAAATACCTAACGATTTTTACGAAAATTTTAAGATTTAATATCTAATATTATGTTATAAATTATAAAGAACAATTTAACATATAATAACCTACTACAATGTATGCACATAATTTTTAAGTATTAATAATTATCTTGTATTTTTATTTTATTAATAATGAAACTCACGTGATAATGAGTGCGGATATTATATTAATTATACTTATAATAAAAAATGTACATTTCCGAACGTAATACTAACAAATTCCCTTGAAAATTTCAAGATTTCATGAATCGTTTGTATTTTATTATTTGTTAGAGATGTAGATTCACTGAAGCAATATTTAAAGTATTTTTTATTCTGTAAAATATTGGTTTATTTAATTTTGTTAGTAAATATTTATACAGCTATAAAATTTTAAATCTTTTTTTTTTAACAAAACAATTTTTTCGACATATAAATAGATTAATAATAAAATACAAAATTTATTATTGACTTACAGTGGAGAAAATTAGATCTAGTATCTCAGTTATACACAATTACTGTAAAATATGCGTTCATTATAATAACCAATTTTTTTATATAAGCGTATAAGTATAGCACCAGATAATGGTAAATCATTACATCACAACGCTATCATTTCAAGTTTTTTCTATATGATCCACGTTTAGCAACACTAACAAATTAACAATATTATTTTACTTAGAGAAAATCGGTACTCATCTGTTTTTAGTCATATTTTCCTATACTAATAAGAACAACAAAGAGATGGAAATATGTTCAGCCTTTTAATTTTTAAATTTATCTTATCAATTTATCATTCTCTCCACCTATACACTTTTTATGATACACTCATAATTTCATTCTAGGTCAATCTGTCAATATTGAATATCTAATGAATTTGTAACTAGAGTAGACTCGTTTTCTGTTGGTACTGCTTTAAAGCTGGTACCAAGGCTATACAATTTTGCACTCTATAGTTTCATTATTACATTTTTTCAATAATAATAGTAATACATTTCAGATAGAATAGAGGAAATTTTAATATTCTTTGCAGATAATTAAATAAGAATTGGAAATAAATAAAAAATGGAATCTTATTAAAGTTTTAGAATTAAAACAAATATCTTAAAAGTATGTAACGTAATTTACTATTTCATGATACAATGAGTAGTAATAAGCGAGATAAAAAATATTTATAAAAATTTTTATATTTCCTTAAATTTTTAAGTTTTGTAGTAATTAGGTTAATAAATTTAATAAGAAACAAATCTAAAATAAATAATTAAATTTAAAAAGTTTTTAATTATTAAATTTTCTATGGTTTCCAAAATGTGTTACTGATGGAGGATTTTTCTACCCTACTCTAAGAATTAGAATTTTATTTTTTGGTACCAAAATTCATTTGACATTTTTTGTGAATGCTACCAGTAATAACTGTCATATATACATAATATATACATAATATATTTCACCATAAATTGTAAATTCTGAAAATTTTTAACCGAATAACTTAGCGGTAATATTAACTTAATATTGTATACATATATACGAAACTATTTTTAATTAAAAAAAACAAAAGTCTTCAGTACTTTTTAAGATACATTAAATATATATTGTGTTGTTGATTTATTAATTAAGAACTAAAAACATGACATCATAAAACCATGCTTATAATTTTATTATAGAAAGATAAAATCACAAATAAATGTCGGTACAAAAATGATGATCCTGGATTTGTATATTATAATTTATAATATTTACCTATAGTTCATAATAATAATCAGTTATAAAAATACTTCATTTACATGCTACATTAACAAATTTTAATAAATTTTTATAGTATTTATATTAAAAAAGTAATTTTCATATAGTAATATTATATATAATACGTATAATACCTTGTAAAAGATTATATATAAAGCTTTTTAAAAGCACATCACAAATGTACATATACGAGATCTATGGCGAACGTTGATTTCGCTCAAAGATTACAATACTTTATAGACTTTCATAACTAACGATTTAATTTAAGATAAACATACGCATGGCCACGTTATTGCTTGGCCTTGGCAATTCCAGCGACTTGATGCTTGCCTCACTTTTCCGTCGCAATGCTTAACCTTGCTTTACAAATAGAGACACGTATGAGATACCTTTATTATGAAGAGTAATGTGTTTCTTCAGCCTCTTCTGTGAGCAGCACGCCAGATATAATTGAGTGATTGCAGTTATATATATATTTATCATCTACGAGGACATACTGTATTGAACGAATGAAGTTATTTTGATGATATACAATTACGTAAACTGATTAGATTATGTAAATTATACATTATGTAAAATTCAATAATAAATTTTTCGACAATGTTTCTACTAGAAATAAAAAGGAAAACTCTATACTTAGCTAAATAACTTTGTATTGAATCCCAGTTTTAATCTTTTACTTGGAGCTGAAAATGTTCATATACTATTAAATAAATTTATTACTATTAAATAAATAATAAATATTAAATAAATTAAATTACTATTAAATAATAAATTCAATTTATTAACAAAATTAAAATTTTAATAATAAATAAACTAAGTTGTTAGTATAATTTTAAAATATTTAATTATATCAATACGTAAAATAATTTTAAATAAAATTTAATGTGGAGTCAGAATTAACATTTTTAATCAAAAAAACAAAATTTAGACATTATGTAAAACATGTTTGATTTACTTAATCAATATTTATTCAGATTCGAAAAGTAAAAATTATTTTCATGTAAACATTTAATATAATTTATATTATTACTACAATAAAATGTATTATATATGGGTTATATTAATAAATATTTTTTTCAACGCTTTATGTATGTTATTCTAAACAAAAACCAAAATATAAAAAATTTTATACCTAAATCATAGATTATACAAATTTAAATAAAATGAATTTTTTATTAAATAGAATTCTAAAATACTTATTAGCTTAGCATTTCAATGAATGTTATTTATTATATAATATAATATAATAATAAAAGTTATAATTAAGATAGTTTGTAAAAAATATAAAGCTACTAATAAAGATATTATAATGTATGGAATTATACTTTACAACTAAACTGATATCTCAATTTTGTAAATTTTTTTTCAATTGTCTCATACGATATATATAACCTGATATATGATTTATTGACAAATAAAGAACGATAAAATGTATATTTAATCGATTGGCTTTGTGTTTCTTGATAATATATAATATAATATCCTAAGCAAATAGAATTATATGTAAATATAAAAATTTATGAATACAAAATTTTTAAATCATATTTTGTTTTCAACAGTTTCGCATACATGTAAAGTACCTATATATACTATATCATAAAAAATTAGCCAACGCAATTATACCATAGATAGAAATTTAATTTTTACTAAAAAATGAAACTGTAAGACTAATTTTTATAATAAATATATATCTTTTAATATTTCATATTTTATTGGAATATCAATAGTCTAAATTACAACAAAAACAGATTTTATTTCTGAACCTGATTATGTGTTAAATTGTTGTAGTTGAATCCTATCCATAAATAAAAATTTTATCTGCTAGTGAATATATTATTGGAAAATTTTATATAATTCAAAGCAATTCAATAATATTTTCAATTTCCATATATTTTTCCATACATTTTTTTCATAATTTTGATTGGATCGTATTTTGTCATAATTTTGATGTTAAATTCATATATACAAATTAGAACAAAATTTTCTTTTTGTTTTTAAAACATTTTATCTATTTTTTCTTGATATGTGGTAATTAATTATAGTTAATACAATACAATTGAAGTTAAATCAAAATTAATTTTTACTCTATTACGTACACTAATTTTGAAAAAAATTTTAATTCTACTGATAGGTACAAAGAATTGTACAAATATATTTTTTCAGTATTAACCATTAACAAAAAAAAAACATTAATCTTTTTACATTTTTATACAAAATGAATCTCTTTAACATTGGAGAAAATTCTGAAAATTACAAAAAATCAATAATGGAAATAATATACAAAAGTACGTAATAAAAATGGTTTATTTTGGAATAAAATTATGAATTATAAGTTGATAAGAATAGTAAAAAGTATTTAATATATAACATTTTGTAAAAATTACTACTTTAATAAGATATCATCTTAAATAAAATAATTTGTTAAAAAATTGTGTTTTTATTATTTAAGGCAAATAATGCTTTGTAAAATAATGTTTGCCAGTATTAATTTCATAATGACTTAAAAAGGTCTGAATTATATTTAATCTTCCAGACAAATATGCATGCCTCATTTCCATATGATACCGGGCGTAATGGTAACGGTGGTGGAGGCGGTGGAGGTAGCAGTGGAAGAGGCGTTGAATATGGGGCTGTAAGACGTCCTGATGCCCTACTTCCTACACCAGGACTCGAACAAACGGATCTTGTATTACACACCAGTCTCATAGATGACCCCCAGGTACGTGACCAATTGCAAAATGAAATATATTTATACTATTTTTATCTTATACTATGTTCCTTAGTTTATATACTACTAATTTGTGTTATTTTGTCTTTAAAAACGTTTTATATAATTATTGTTGATCGAGTAGTATATACAGATTAAAGAATTAAGTGACAATTATTTCTGAAACTACAATTATAATTATGGTTAATAAATAAATAAATATAAATATAAATGAGTATAACAATAGTTCATCATAAAATGAATAATTGTTTTCGATTATTAAACATCTGGAAATGAGATACCATCAAATTAGAGTATACCCTAATTTTCTAAAATCGTAACCAATTGTTTCAATCGATATGCAAAAAATGATTCGTAGTTCTAGATACAAAATTTAAATAATTTTTTAAAATAATTTTCGTAAATTCAATAAGTGATATTTTTCATATTTTTCAAATCTTTCTAATGTGTGATTTACATTTCACAACATATCTGGACTCTTATATTTTTCTAATTTAATATAATTTATAAAAATATCAATAATATTATTCTGTATAACTTTAAATCAATAAAAGTATACTATAAACGTTCACAGTTTAAGAAATAATATTTATTTCTGTTATTTATTTATTGTTTATATTTAATATTAATTATTATTTATTTACGTACTATATCAACCCATTCTTTTTTCTCTATATATAACATTTACAACAAAATTTAATACTTTCATCAATTTTATAATTATAATTAATGATATTCTTACAGAATACGAACGTAGATGACGGAGGGTTCATAAATGATCTGCCACTCCTTAAAAGTAAGTACATATTTTTAAGTGCATTTACGATCTATTTACAAAATTGAAATAATACATTTTTTAAAAGCAATCCAAAACTAATATATAAAATGGGAACCCCGTAGTTAAATCAACTGTATGCATTCCCCGTGGTGCGACTTAGAAAAAATTCAGCATACTCGGGTTGCTTATTACCTGCTTATTACTCGACAATGCTTCTGTGAATTTCTAACTGATGTCACTACTAGTAAATTATATGTTATTTAGTGTAAGTACCCCTGTCTTTGAGAGAGGAGACCAAGCCAATTCAACAGTATATTTGTGAGAATAACGATGGCAAAGTGAGTGCGACGGCGTACCAAAAATATTGACTTTTCACTCTTCTCGATATAATTCTTATTAAAAAAATATTTCTTTTTTATGATTTTAATAATATACACTGAATTAATATCATATATATATATTTCAAAACGTGTTAAACTTTATATACAACAATTCAAATCGTCTCTATTTTCAATTATACAAAAAAAAACAAAAAATATATATATATATATATATATATATATATATATAAAATTTATTAAGCAAAATAATTCATATATTATTAAAAAAACCATGTTCTACCTCATTTAAATAAAATCAATCACCCTACTATTAACAATAATTTATGATAAAAAATAAATATACGTCTCATTATAATTTAATCGTAAATAAAAATAAAGAATAATTATATAAAAGTTAATCTAATTGTAGTAAAGGAATTTTCTCCTGATAATTTGTTTTAAATTGTTAATTTTCACAAAGTAGAAAATACCATGATTAGGTAGAAAAGTAATAATGTTTAATACAGAAATATTTAAAAACTGAAATGACAATAATACTTTTATGTATTAATATTAGAAATGAGAAATCAAGTCAGAAGCGTGACGAAGTCGAAACAATGTAATTTGTAATCATAGATATAAGAAACAGGGCGAAAAAAGATGGAAAAAGACTGAGAGAGAGTAAGACATATGACCATAGACAGGAAATGTAATAAAATAAGTACAAATGTTAGGGTGAATATTAAAGTAAAAGTATTTTAATAAACAATTATAGAAAAAAAACAAGAAAGAACAGAATGGAATTCATGCCCACGAGGAGATCGAATTTCAATATTGTCATTGTAATTTTTTGACGCATGGGGTGTATTCGACAAGTTTTTCTGGGCGGTCTCACGCCACAGGAACACTAAATGCATGTACAGATGGCTGTTCGTCTATAGATACTCACGGTTATTATGAAATTCGTAATTTTTCATTTTCTCTATGCCAAGTCCTCGAATAAAAAATTTAGATATTCATTTTTCGATTTCGTAAAGCAGTTACTTTACTTATCCTTTTTAGACGTCATTTTTGTATGTAGAATTACTTTTTTTACAGATAACCTACATAATTTGAAATTGTTGCCTTAAAAGTTTAATTGAATTAACAATAAAAAATACTTTCATGGTATTAAATATTAAAATTTTAATAAAAAGATTATGTTTATATGAATATTAGAAAAATTTATCGAATGATTTTTTATTTAAAATATGAATAAATAATTATAACAAATAAATAATAACTCTTCAAATATATAAATAGAAGTAGAAAAATTATATAGATATAATTATAAATTACTGCAAAGTATTCAATATTGCAATTGCAGTTAAACATAATTTGAGAGAATTTGAAATCTTCAGAAGATTATCCAAATTTCAAATATTTAAATCACTGAAAAAATTTGTGAAATAAATTAAAATAAAAAAATCGAATATAATTGACAAATTTAACAATACTTGTTGTCAAAAGTTTATTTCAGGTATATAATATAATATAATTCAAGTTTATAATAGATTTAAGAAATGAATATTAAAACGTACATCTCCAGTGGTTCTATTTTAAACAATTGTATTGAATTCTTCAGTATTTTATTATGATTTAACATGTACATTTTATCCTAAATTTATAATATCTGGTTCAATTATATAAAAAATTATAATAATTATGATCATAAAATTCTAAATGATAAATTATATTCTTTAAAACCAAGTTTCTTCAATTTGTAATAACGAATAACACACGAAAATAATATCTTATTTTAAATTATGATTTTTTTATATATTTGTTTATATTTTTTAACATATAATTATAAATTTTGATCAGATATATAATATACATGTAATTATTGTTTCTGCATATTTGTGATGGATTATTATATAAGGTATTACAAATAACATACAAAATACTGTCATTGTACGATGCAGAATGAGTAATCTGTGAACTATTGCGTATAAAAGAAAAACACGAAGCGAGACTAAATATTTAACTTGTTTTTCTATTACAACTTTTTTTTATATTTGCTTTAATTGTTGTTGGTGATTTATTTATCTTTGAAATCCTTGTTTTCAATTTATTATATTATTTTTTTTTTTTAAGAGAAAGTTGAATAAAATTTGTTGGAAGAATTCGAGATACCGATGTGTGACGATTAAATTTTACATAGAGTAAATAAAATTATAGACTAAAATTTATTGAGATTAAATTTTTAAAGCAATTATTTAGAACGTATTCGATTAAAATCAATTAAAAGAACAATGGTACAAGATTCTAAAATTGTTTAGTGTATGAAAATATAGAATGCAAGGGGGGAATCAATTTTATTATTAATTACTAGGTAATACTCAATAACAAAATTTTTGGTAATTAATATTATGTTATACATGACAAAATTTTCAAATGTATATATAAGAAATTATATTATCACTTTAGGTTTTTACGTTCTACTTTAATTCTCATTCTTTGGATTTCTTTCCATCAAATACGCAAAATGATTTATTTACTGAAACTTTTGGATAAAAAATATGTTAATTATCATTTAATTATTGTATTAAGGAATGTATTATAAAAATTATATATAATGTAATTTTTTAAACGTATGCATATATACATAATGTTATTAAAAATTTCATAAATTATTTGTATTACTAGTTCTATATTAATCGTCAGTAATTTTCATAAATTATATAATTAGATTCTAAAAGAATTATAAGAAATATCAATTTTCATTTTAGAAAATAGTGAGATTTAATATATGATATATAACTATTTTAAGTTATATATTGGATTGTAAAATATGAAACGAATGTTAAATTTATTGCTATAATTTTTAATGCGGTGATTCATTTGTGTATAAAAATAATCTTCTTACAAAATTATGACTTGATATTAAAAAAGGCGTCATACAGTTCCAATGTAATATTCAATATGCTTGATCAACATACACGCGCAGAATTTCCGGCCCCGCTCCCTGGCTAAAAGTATTTCGCTAGGGCATAATTAAGTTTGCTGGAAACGGACCAATCCGATTGCATGCATTCAAAAGCCCTCGATTTATTGAGACTACCCGTTTATAGGGCTATACCGATTTCATTAGATGTAAGAATTCCATGAAAGACACTATTTTGTCAGCAACTATTAAAGGGTGATTTTAAATCAATGAAAGAGATTTTTGTGAGGATTGATAGTTTTTTACAGGTCAGCAAAATGGCGTAGACTATTATAAAAAGTACTTCTTTCGTATTTTTTTATTCTAAAGACTTTATGAAGTATATTTTATGTTTTATATCCTGATATGCACATGAAAATTATTATATTTTTTTATGATTCACGACCTTCTCATTCTTTTCAGATCCAACATTATTTATGCATAATAGAAATAAAGTTATTATTATTATTATATTTAAATTATACAAAGAGAGAAAAATTGTTAATTACTTAATAATTTACATTAAAATATTACATAATAATTTAATAATTAATACGAATTATTTTTTAAATATTTAAATTATATTTATATGATAATATGAATGAGATTTCAATAAACATTAGTTTATTGTGGAAGAGAATTGGTTCAATAATCATCTATTCTTTTTATATATGAGTAATTGAATAATATTATAAATTTTAATTCTTTAGCTTCTAAATATCCATATATTTAAATCTTGTATAATCACACTTACATTTTGATTACAAATTTATTAATTATATTTATTGTATATTAGTAAAAGTTAATACTTTGTAACACTATTCAATAAATCTACTGAAAATTTATTTATTTTTAATATATAAATGTAATATATAAATGTAATACATCCAATTATTTTATGATATTAAATATAATACGTTATAATAAATGTACTAATATTTTACATGTATTTTTAATAAATCACAATAAAAACGAATTCATTATTTTGTTCTACTGTGCATTATTCTCTAAATTTAATTCTAAATATGGAAACAATATTATATTAGATAAAATGTTCATGGATTGAACTCAATCTATTCTAAAAAATAATGCAATTGTTTGTAAATGATAATTTTTATAACAATCTAAATTTATGTAACGAAATGTAACAGTATCTCTGATACTATTAAATATAATTTTTTACATATTGGTATAAAAACTATTGGTAATAATACAATATTCATAATTTTCATAATAATAATTTTAAAAAAAATTAAACACGTATAATTAACTCCTCAACTAGAGAAGTCACATAAATTGAGAAGGGCATAAATGTTTTATAATCTTGTTATTATAATAATAATTATCAATATATTTTAACATTTGATATAATAAAATTAATATAAAAATCAAATCAAATAAGATAAAATACTTATTAATTACGTATCCATAATAAATAAATTGAAATTACCTTTTGTATGATTTTAAGTTTGAAAGTTCGAAGTAAATTAAAATAAAAATACTTTTCAATTTTCGTAAATAATTACAAAATTAACTACATTATATATATGAATGGTACAAAATGTATAAATCTATAATACAATAATATAATAAAACATATAATATCTTTTACAATATTCATTTAGTGTATATACTTAAATAATTTAAAAATAATAAATAATATAATAAGATAATGTAATAATAAACTTATAGCTTAATAGTATACTATAAATTCATTTTTAATTTTCTGAAGTGTAGGAGACTATTTTATTTAAAGAATGAGTAGTGTAAATCTTTCATAATTTAAAATGCTATTGTTTTCTTATTGAAAGCGAAAATTTTATTTACAATCACATATAAAAAAGATTTTTTAATTATTCAAAATGATTAATTACTTTTAATCAATAAACACTTGTTTTATTATTTAATTATATCTTACAGATCAATAATAGACAATTCTATGCACTGCAAATAGTTATGTGGGGGTCTTTTTATTCCAATTCATTATATGAATTTTTCAGTTTATCGCTCAAAAGTTTTATATTAAATATGAATGTTAAAATTGTATTTATTAGAATATTTTTTATTTGATAACCAATCTAAATACATAATGAGTAAGATAAAGGTCGCATCTGATTAATGTTTCGAGCTTTAAAAGGGTCAATACATAAAGACTTATCAATAATTGATATTAATTTATTTGAAAAAATTATGGTGATTAAGTGAATTCAAATTTTTAAATATTTTTTTAATATGAAACACTTCTATTATTATGTGTTAACTAAAAAATAATTAAATTGAAATAGGACGTGTGCCCTTGACGAGTGTATACAATAAAATGGCCTCTGCTAATGTGAGTACATATGCATACACGCCAATGTAGAACGTGTGGCCTTGAAGTGTATATATGAATATACCTAGAGGCTATGCTTCTTGTGGCAGTGTAGTTTATCGTCATGAGTTAGCACCCTTGACTTCTTGTACGTGTGGCTGAATAACGTAATGACTTATAACTGTTGGATGGCTTCATTGCGTAAGTATAATTGAGTGACTTGTTGTGTGATAGGAAACACTGGTTGAATGGCGTAATGACTGATAACTGTTTGATTGACTGATTTACAATGAGTCTATAAGCCCGTTGAATAGGCGCACGAAAACCGAAGGCTTATCGTTCCATGGGGGTCCTGCTGAGGCAGTCCGAGATCCGTGCCATGGCTTCTTCACTTAGATGGTTCACTGTGGTCGGCTCACTGCAGTCAGGTCACTGCAAGAGGTTCACAGCAAGAGTGCTTGCCTTATATATTCACGCGGTAGCTGACTTATCTGGCAATAAAGCATCGTTATTGCTGCACTGGAAGCTTACATGAAGCGTAGAAAAAAAAACCTAGAAGTTTTGAGAATTCTAAGCAAAAACAAGGCGTAAGAAGTTTCGAGAATTCCAAGCGACGTTACTACTCGAAGACTATAAACATTGTAGACCATTTGAAACCGACACATAACAAGTACACGAAAATTCTCGTCCCAAGTGTTTACAGTAACTTGAAAGCTAGAGAGATTAGTGATGCCGATAGCCGACGGTCTTGGAAATTGCTTCAATCTCGAACAGTATATAATACTTTATATGTATTATAAATATAAATATATACTGATTAAATAATATCAATTGAAATTTTATATATTAACAATTTATTTACAACATACTTTTCATCATGTTTTTGTAATTTTTTTAAACATGAGAATAGAAAGCATAATATTTTATCAAAATCGGTACTTTGAATATTCACTAAAATTTCGGTATATATTATTTCGAAATAAACCTGTCGAAATATATAGATACAGGTATCTGGAATTTCAAAATAGATATACAAAATGTAATTTTTGGCAATCAACATGGCTGATTTTAAAACATATGTCTTTTAAGTATATATAAATAACTAACTAAATATATATATATATATATATAAGTATACCTATTCCAATATAATTGTAGATATTGGAATTTAAACGACTTCTTCTGTAAATGCCAATAGTAAATTGGTATTAAAATGTATTTAACAATGTGTGATTTTAATATTCATAATCGCTGTGTTTATGTCGTTTTCAGCAATCGAAATTCTGAGAATATCGCAAATAAATTTTATAAACAAATTTTAATTTTTATAACAATAATTAATACTCATTAATTTATTTAAAAATCGTTATAAACCAATGTATACTGTTTATCTGTCAAATCTGCTCCCTTGGAAAATAAATGAAGATTGATTTCAATCAGATATATCTTATTTAAAATATATTCTAAAACATTTTTACATGATATTTAAAATTTATTTATAATATAAAATAATAAAATATCCTTTACTTTACTAAATAATCTAGTTATGGTAAAATATTTATAACTAAAAGAAAATTAATATTAAATTAATACATTCACTTATCTGTCGAGCACATTTTTATATAATTTTATTACAAAAAAATATGTTTCAAAGTAAAATGATTGTTTTGATTGCAATTTTTATGTTAGGTGCTGGAATCCTAAACAATTAATATATATATAAATTTTTATATACTGAAATATTAATTATTGCATATAAATTTATATAATTATATATATGTAACAATAAAAATACATGTTTCTAAGTCTTCTAAATCTTTCTTCAGTTTTTAAACCCTTTTTTTAAATACATATATATATATATATATCTTTTTTAAATTTTAAAAAATTTTATTTAAAAATCTTTTTCCATTTTCATATATAAATTTTAAATAGTGAGTTCATATTTATTAATAAATTTGTGAAAAAATTAATTGAAATACAATTAATGGGTATTGGTTTATTATTAATAATAGATATAGACTTTACCTAAATTATTTATTTAGTATAAAAATTAATGAAATGCGATGAACAATTATGAAAATAAAATAATAATTGTATATAAGTGTCATTCTTATAGATTAAAAAACAACGCATCATTACTGTATACACTTAATTTACGGTGTAATATAATTATACTTACACTATGATTTAATGATACTTGCGAGGAAAATAAATGTCTTGAATCACAAATATAAATTTTTTAAAAATTTACGTTGGTCAGTTTTTATTTTTTTCTTGATTGCTCCATGTCTTGAGAAATACATTATTGTTCTTGTTAAATCTATCTTAATTACAATGAGAAAGCATTTAATGACTATGTATTTAAAATTTTCTTTGATATGCAAGAATTTTGTGATGCTTTTGAAATTACTTTTGCATTGTTTTTGACTTTTTCAATTTATATAATCCAAATTAACAATCTTGAAGCTTTTTGAATATATGGCATAAATAGATGAAAAGGATTTATTTTCATTTTATTATTCTTTTTTGAATATAAAATCTAAAGAAATTAAAGGTTAAAATGCAAAAGAAAAGAGAAAAATCGGTTCCATTTATACCTTCTTCCATTGTACTCATTTTGTTCGTATTAAGCATTCTGATTTTAAAGGAGAATAGAATAGACAGAATAATAGAAGTTAGCAATATATTATTAGAATGAAATATTGGTAAGTTAAACGATATTTATCAAAAAAATTTTTATATAAGATATTTATATAGATAGATATATACAAAAATTAAATGATAAAATATTAAATAATTATTATTTTATTATATTTTTACTATTTTCTACAGTTTCAAAATTTGAAAATAATGCATAACATTGTCTTCTAATTTTCATAAAACATGTATTTTGAAATATTAGGCGATCGTTTTTTGTACCATAGTAAATCGATGTTTTTATAATCAATTTTTAGATTTTAAAATTTTTGAAAATAATATGCATTTAATTTTGAAAAATATTTAATTAGAAAATATAAAGGTATAAAAATATTAATTAAAATATTGAAAAATATAGTAAATCCTAATCTTGGGTAATTTATTAAAAAATTGCTATGAAATATAGCGCGCAATAATAAGAAATAATAAAATTTGTTTATAGTTAATTTTTTTAATTTTATAGGAATCTACAAAAGTTTGTATATAATAGAATATGGTTTTAATAGTTACAAATATCTAAATATTATAATCTTAATGAATAATAATGTAAATCTATTGAACATCATCATACCCCATAATATAGCTTTTCGATGTATAACGTTGCTACAGTTTGAGAATGAAATGTATAAATTCTAATATTATATACCAATTCAGAAATATTTCGAATATTTATTTACACATATTTAATTAGATGTTCCAAAGATAAATGTTTACAAAGAAATAGCTATTTTATTAGATTTATTATAAAGATAATTTTCCAATTATCTTGTACTTTAGATATATTTCTATGTACGATATTCGTTATTCATGTAAAATAATTATAATCAGTAAAATTAAATAACTGTTTTCTAAAGATCAATGGAATGAAGTGCAATCAGTATTAAAAATTAATGCATTTATATCATTTTTTGCAGATCTTAAGCCATCGGAACGCGGCGAAAAAGCGATGTTGACAGGAAATGCTCAACCCTCAGATGTATTTTGCTCCGTCCCAGGGAGATTATCATTACTAAGCAGCACCAGCAAGTACAAAGTTACGGTAGCGGAAGTTCAAAGACGACTGTCGCCTCCGGAATGCTTGAACGCAAGTTTACTCGGGGGCGTTTTACGAAGGTGACTATTTAATTATATAGATTATATATAACTTTAGTGACTTAATGATATTTACAATATTTACTGTTTTTCATTAGAAGCGTAACAAAAGAAAAAAAGAGTATTAAATATTGCAATGTAAATAGCAAGTATTTAAATGGGATAAATTTAACTATTACTATAGTCATATCATTAGTTTCTGAATTTACATTTTAACTCTATATTATTATATCATTCTTTACAAATAAAACGTTTCAATTGAATTTAAAAATTTTTAATATTTTATTACTATATTAATATAGAAAAACTTGAATTTCAAAGAATTATGAAGAAATATAATAAATTGAGTTCTAATTATTTTAATAATGATTATATTCATGTTACGTTTTATATATAATTAAAATTTTTATTTTTGATTATAATGTTTAATAATATTTAATAAGAAAATATTTTGCTTTATAAAATATTAAGCAAAATTTACAAGTATAATATTATTTTTTAATTTAAAATTAGAATGTTATTAATAACAAATGCATAATAAAATTATCAAATGATGCTTATATATTTTTAAAGATTAAGTATTGTGCATTAAATAGATTTAATAAAGGGCAATATTATTTTTCAATGTAACTAGAAGTTTCTTGGAAATTAAATATTGTTTATATTACGAGTAACGGATTAAATTTATTAATTTCTTATTTATTATAGTAATAATTCTCAATTACATTGTATTTCATTCAATTTATCTTTTAATATATATATATATATATATATATATATATATTATAATTTATTAATAATTATTAATAAAATATAGGTATACAAAATATAGGTATATATTAACAAAAATAGTGCAAAGTAGAGAGGAACTAATTTATCATCTTGAATATATTGGGTAAATCAGTTCTTTTTCGTGAACTTAATTTCTTTATTTAAACTTTGGCTTTTTCTTTTTCTAAGTATGAAGTTCTCTGTTCTATAAAGACATCGATAAAAGGTAGTCCAAATCTACCCTTAATATAATTATTTTTATTAAAAAGTTGAAGTGTTTTAAAATATATTTTATAATATATTTGTTACGGATTGCAGTAGTTTTTAAGCGGAATAAAAAGTGGGAGAGGTATGAGCTCGCGAGTATTTGTTTTGTAAAAAATGACTAACGAACTCAAAGAATGCTTATAACAAAAAACTCAAATATACTACTATAATTCCAAAAGTAATAACAAATGAACTCTACGAGGCTATGCTCTGTTGACGTCACGACAAATATCGGCATAGCAACGGCCACCAATGCACTTTCGGTGCTGCTTGTTATTACTCTTACTAGTTCAATCAAACAATCATCAAGACCAAATCGCCGTCCTACAAGTCAAACACCATAGAGGTACACATAGAGGTCATCTCCAATACACAACGATCTATCTCCACACACGTAAGCTACGCTATTACACGCGTACTTACGTACCGTCAATGCAACTGAGATCGACTCCACACACGTAAGCTACGCTATTACACACGTTCTTACGAATCACTAACACACGGCTCCATGAACTAAGTAAGCAGCAATACCTAAACTACGGTATCATTGCCATTCATCAGTGACGTCACACACCAGCGCCCCACCCAGGCCTCTCCAGCTCATCGGTAGCGGCAATCGGTGGCGTCAACACTCACCTATCACACCATGACCCTCTCACGGCATCAACATCCTTTATCAGCACATCTCCCACTACCATTACGAGTTCTAATCACAAGTAGGAGAGTCACGCGCGACACTCAAGAAAACACTTATAAGATTATCATAACTCACATCACATGAAGAAACTCTCACTCATTTATTGTATCATTCATTCAATCTCACCTCAATAGACCACTGATTATTTATTATATTATTATTATTCAATAAAAGGAAAACCAACTCATACAAAGGCAGTATTGAATTATTGCATTGTCCATTCCACTTGCCAGCAAGCCTCCCTTCACCATCTCAGGGAAGCGTTTTAGTCTGATCTCAGACAATATTATACTTCGATTTATGTGCAAATATAAGAATAATTATAAAAAGCGATTGCGGTTTTGAATGTTATACATTTATCTTGAAGATTTCAAATCAGAATGTCATATTAAAAGAAAATATATTAATGTATATCACACATTATAAGCGTATAATATTATAAGCATTTAACGGTAAAATCAATGTTGTTAAATAACAGACATATATATGCCAATTTAAGGTAAATAAATTAGAAACAGGTATGAAGAACAGTTTTTTTTGTACAATTATTAAATACGATTATTGTAAAAAAAATTCATCTCTTTATTGATTTATCATATTATGAATAAAAACAGTAAAATTTTATTTTCAACCTTTAATTTTTATTTTGATGATATCTTAGGGTTCCTTTATTGTGAAATTTAGAATTTTATCATTTAATTATAATTTTTTCTTATAATATTTATACCAGCTGTTTAAAAATTTATATAGCTTAAAAATAATATATTTCTGTTCACATATAAAATACTATATACAATATCACAAATAATTATACGATAAATAATTTAACTATAAATATTGGAGTTTAAATATTAAAAGAAATTTTAGTTAATAAAATATTTAGAAAACTAATTCTGATATTGTTTCAAAACAATAGGATTGAAGTTATCTTATATTTATGAATATATATTTTTTCTTATATATTGAAGAATTTTATATTTTTTACTTTAATAGTAATTAAAAATAACAAATAAAATATAATGTTAAGTGCATGCACAGTATAAATAAAATATATTATTATTTCTGTGCACAATTATTAAATAAATTTATACCAATTTTATCTACAATAATTTATAATTGATATTCATAAAATGAAATTTACCAATGCATACTTATATTTTTAATTATTTCGAGATGTTAAAATTTTAATGAAAATTATAATATATAAAATTACTTTATTCAGTATAATAAATATACGTAAAGTAGTAAAAAATAATGATTCAATTATATAAACTACTATTATTTTGAAACGATTAACTTAATGTTGTAAAAGTAATATAATAAGTACCTTTTTATTTAATAGTAAACAGGAAAAATAGTAATTTTGAATCGATTACAAACATCGATTATACACAAATAATAGTACTAAATACTTTAATATTGTTCGAAAAGTTCGTAAATCCAGCACAAGGGCCAAATGTTCGAAAGTTTAGTCTGTAGCTAGAATTGCCAAATTCAATAGTTCAGTTTATTAGTCTCTCACCGTAGCGATGCTTACGAAAGAACACATGTGGAAGGGCTGTAAATATGTACAGTATGTAACTTCGTTTTAAGACATCGTTTATTCTATTTTATTAACAATTACAATATTGCAGTTATATGTTCATTTCTTGTCAGAGAGAGGGAATTATTCTATTATAATGATATGGTTGCTTCTTAGTAATGGTGGCGATGTCATTGATGATGATATGGAGATCGGCAATGGATTTTGTATATTCCCTGAAGGGGAATATGGCTTATTGGTTCTATGCTGACGTTGTAAAGGTCAACAAGAAGAGTCGACCACGCTCATCAGGTGAGCATGAAAAGGTGGTAGTGGTAATTAGCAGTGAGAATCAACCATACTTATAAGGGGAGTATGGCAATGTCTCTGTGGTAGCTAGCAGGAAGAATTGACTATACTCATAAAGGGAGTATGGGAATGTCTCCGGGAGAATCGACCATACTCATAAGTAAAGTATGGGAGTATTTATATGCTAGTTATTCGCAATAAAGATAAATGATATACCTTCGAGAATAGAAGGATTAGATACCACGATTTGCATAGTCGACTATTTTCAAGAACAGCAGTCAGCCCTTGACGGATTGTTGCCTTGGAGCACTGGAGAAGTGAACGAGTGTTCCGTGCAATAGCGTGGCTTGGACGTAGATGATTAGTTTGGATGAATAATTGAATACTGACACTTCATAACTATCGACACTACGAATTGGACGACTGCTTTATGTTAACTACGTGGAGTCTTGTCGCGCGCTGTCTTAAATATCGGCGCGGCAACTAGCTCTAGCTCGAAACGAGTTTTTAGCTAGTTGAGAATTCGATGAAAGCAAACGTAATCGTTCGAGGCTAGGCAGCCTTTGGGAACGATCGAGAATCTAAGCTTTCGGCTAATTGAGAATTTGTCGAAAGCAACGTAATTGTTTGAGAATTCTGCTATTGTATAATTGGGAAATCAATGTCAGAAAATGTAAACATTCCGAGAACCAAAAGCCTCGAATAAAATTCCGAACAAATACATATATTTTTTATTCTCATTTTTTATTGCATATAAAAATATTTGTAGTCAATTAAAAGCACCAATGTAGAGAACAAAACTTCTTTGTATAATCATCTAATCGTATATAAGAGATCATATCATCTTTAGAAATCAATTATGGATTTTAATAATCTATTAATGTACATTCTGAAATATATTTTTTTATTAGTAATTTGTTTCATATATATTATTTTACGTAGAAACCTTAATTTAGTTTGCTTACTAGATTATAATTATGATATATAAATTAACATATTTACATACATCTTTTGTTAGACGTCATTAATTCATGTTTCTCTATTAAAATATATTCAAAATATTTGTGTAAAATTAAAAAATTTAGATGTTTCTAGGTCTTCAATATTTTTAGTATTTGAAGTTGTTTATATTTTAAAATTTATTTTAAATAACAGTTTTTTCTTAATTTCTATATTTATTTAATCAATTGAATTTAAGTTTGTTTTCTTTTAAATATAAATTGAATTTCATCATGTATAATTTTTTAAATTATATTTTCATAAATTTTAATTACATAAAATATTGAGTTTTAAAAATTCATCACCTTAATTGTATTTAAAGCATCACAAAGTTCATAAATAATTATGTTACATTATTTCTAAACCTTTTTCTTTACCGAATTTTTAGATTGAATAATAATAAAGTGCACTTATGATTGTTTATATAATGTTGAAAAATCTATATTGTTGCCATATAAATATTTCTTTTATTATTGAATGACTGTTAATATATAATTTTTTAGAGCCAAATCAAAAAATGGCGGACGACTTCTTAGAGAGAAGCTTGAGAAAATTGGACTAAATCTTCCAGCTGGCAGAAGAAAGGCTGCTAATGTGACATTGTTAACATCTTTGGTAGAAGGTAAGTTGTTTTAAAAATCAGTTATCATTTTATAAATAGAACGTTTAATATTTGTTTAAATATGCATCAATTTAATAATGCCATTAAAAAATGAAGTAATATTTTGAAACATTAAATTTGTTGAAACTAAAAATTTTTATTTTATGCCAAATTATTCACAGATTATAAAAAGAGCAAAAAAAGAAAATTCCAAGGTATAGCAATAAATATTATATAAAAATTTGATTGAAACATAACTGCAGTACAAATAATTTGTTGTAAAAATAGTTATGTCACTTACTTATGATAATAATGAAGAGAAAAAATATTTAATTAATAATGAAATTTTCTATACAAATAAAACATAGAGGTAGTAGGAGTATAGTAACGTTTTTGAATTATCATAAATCATGGCAGGTTAATTTCTTTAAGTATAAAATTGCGATAATCCAAAAATGGAATTATTTCATTACTACTTATTACTTATTATTAATTATAACTGTTTTATAATACGGTTTTTCTACGAAGGGTACCAATTTTGTATTAATAATTACTTCATTTTTCATTCAGTATTTATTAATAAAGAAAAACATATTGTTTAATATGATTAAATGTTAATATTCCATTCGGCACATGAACAATGTATCACTATTTCTTAATTTTTATATATAAATGTTGATGGATCTATAATATTACAGAACAAGTAGAAGATGAATCTAGCCACAACTAGTCTGAGTTCTATTTTAATTATATTTTATAGAAATACGTTTTTTTAAATGAAATATATAAATAACAATTTAATTTACAAAAGTTAATAGCTATTTTAAGAAAATTCAATTTGAATTTTAAAAATACTTTAACCTTATAGATATATACAAGATAATCTTGTTTTAATAAAATTCAAGAAAAAATTAAAAAATAATAAAATTTATATATGACATTGACAAAAAATTCAATATTGTATTTCATAATAAATATGAACTGCTTTGATAAAGAATTGAACTGCATTTGATATTGCGTATTAAATTGCAAGCACATTTAATCTTATATATATATAATTATTTATTCGTATAATTAATAAATAATAACTATTCGTATAATTATTTATTTATTAAAAAAATTTTAAATTAAGATAAATTATTTCAAATCATTTATTTATTTTTATTTTCCACATTTTTCAGTCAATTTCAACTTTAAATAAAAATACGATTATTAGAATGTATTGTGAATTAATAATTACGATTGATATTTAAAGTTTTTTGTAAGTATACAGTAGGTGATTATGTATTTTCATTACTTGCTATCTTAGAATTTATAAAAGAAAATATTTCACAGTTAAATTACTCATATTACCTTCAATCAATCATAATTTAATTTAAATGATCTTTTTTTAATAATTATATGCAACTGAATATATGTAGCTTTTATGCATAAAAATTTTTGCTTGATAATATTTTTTAACTTTTATAGAAAATGTATTATAGAGATGAATGTTGCATTACAAAATCAGCTGTGAAATATAATTGTATTCTATGCATTCAAAATATAATAGATATTCAAATATGATAAAAAAAGTATTGAAAAATGTTTTTATTCGAGTATTCTAATGTTTTAGTAAACTAATTATAGAAATAAATAAAAGGTATTTAAATTAGTTGACAGTAAATAATTTGATAAGTATTTTATAGAATAAAAATGAATACCGAAGAACATTTGTTTAGAAGCTATTATTATACATTATAATATATTATAATTTCTTATAATATATATTATATTATTTTATTATATTATAATTTATTTATATTATTATAATATATAATTGCTAATGTTATTTTTTTACGTAGGAGAAGCGATTCATCTCGCTAGAGATTTTGGATATGTTTGTGAAACAGAGTTTCCAGCAAAACAGGTTGCTGAATACCTGAGTCGACAACACTGCGAACCACAAGATTCATATAGACGAAAAGAACTTCTACATGCCACTAAGTAAGTTGTAATGTGATGATCCGATAATGCTTGTTAATAAATTAATTATTTATACCTTAAGCTGTTAAAATTTAATTTATTCATTTTAATATTTCATATTAATAAACAACTACTGGCATTTTTAAGACTTCCACCGTCATTTCATATTATTATACATTTTCATCTGATTGTTATATTTCCATACACGTCTGTCATGACAATAATGAAAAATCATATTTCACATAACAACGTTTTGTGTGCATCGGTAATTAGAATTACTGTAATACACGAATTCAAATTTCCAAATGTCCCTCTAGAAGTGATAATGCCACCCTACATAACCGTTCATATTTAAAAATTTTATTACTTTAAATACTCCGAATAATTTTTTCACGTTTTTATACAAAGTTAGATTTTTCTTTGCTTTCTTCTCTACTGTAGGTTTATACATGTAGAGAATCGCTTCTGGTAATTGTCTATTTTTTTACATTTAGAATGATAGATATTATTATATTGATACTAGCAATTTATACTTATAGAATCAAATCGTTAGCAGTTGTGTTGTTGATTATGCTAAGCCTTCTTTGCATTACTAGCATTTGTATAACTGCATGAAGTTGTACATATAATTTCATCCTATCAATAACTATACATAGCAATTAAATTTGAAAATATTATCATATATTTAACGTATAATTTATAAAATATGTTTAAAGCCAGTTTAAAAACTTAGAATTATTCTTTCTTTATTTTCTCTAATACATTGAAATATTAATTCTTTGAATTTCATTAAATTTTCTTTATTTTGTATTCGGTTAAATAGATTACTAAATTTAAATTTATTTTTAAATCACCGATAAATCAAATATTTAATCACTTTAAATAGAATACATTTTCTATTTTAATTTATTAAATATATATAGTAATTATTAAAAAAAAAGAAGTTATTAACATTATTAACATTATTAATTTTGAAAATATTAAAAACTGTGAAAAATGATTTAAATTTGCAAATAAATGATGTTTTATGGATTACTAATTAAAATACTTACATAATAGTCAATTGTTTTTAATATAAAAAAATTAATGTATGTAATACATACAAACTTGTTTTTTTGGAAAAACTGCAAATTGTTTAAGTATTGGGAAGTTTCTTGAATAATCAATATATTTATTTATATTATAAGAATTTTTTAATATTTTTTCGAATTTTCTTAATAAAACGAAACGAGTGTTTTTTTGAATTGTATAAATTTATTATAAATTAGAAAATAAAAACATATATTTTACTACTTTGCTTTCAAGAAATAAATTAATTTTTTATTGAAAATATAATTTCGTGTAACATACAAAGAAAAGATCGTTATTTTATATTAATATGCTAAAATTAAAAAATAATATGAACTATTATTAATGTTAAACACTAAGAGATTTATTGAAAAATGATTTTGCTTTTAATTTAATTATAATTTAATTTTAATTTTCATAAAAAATATTTTTAGACAGATTACCAAAGAGTTAATGGACCTTCTAAATCAGGATAGGTCACCTTTGTGCAATACTCGACCACAGCACATTTTAGATCCCAGCATTCAGAGACATCTTACACATTTTTCTCTTATATCTCACGGATTCGGCAGTCCTGCTATCGTTGCTGCTCTCACAGCAATACAGGTAGTTTGTGTAATCAGAACTGTTTCACATAAGACGGTGTAAACGTATTGATTTGTTTTTATTTCCTAATCTTCATTTTCATTTTTATGTATAAAAAGATTATATAAGATTTTAAGTATTCAATTAGTAATGTTTTATAATGTTCCTTACAATGTTACTATAAATTTGCAGAAGTTCCTAAGTGAGTCTCTAAATCATCTGGAGAAGATATACCCAGGTAATAGTAGCGGTGTGACGAGCAGTCAGCAATCTTCCCTGGATGTGAAGAATAAGGATGGTAGCTTAATGAATGACATGAAAAAGTGACGCTCGGATGATCCATCATCTTCAAATATTGTCACTTCCATAAGACACTCTTGGCCATACAATTGAGTTGTAATTATAGTCATCGTTATCATCGATTACGTAGGCTCTTCGAGCTCGTAGAGTGAGATAAAAAAAGTGAAAATACATTACACAAATTTTAGTAAGTATGCATTAAAATAGAAAATGACTGAAAAATAAGATCGGTTGACATAGAAAAGAGAGAAAGTAATTCGTATCATATTTGATGTGTAATCATAGTTGAAGTGTGTGGTGAAATAGTAAAAGTAGGAAAAACAGAAAACTGTGGAAAATACAATTGTGAACTAAGTGTAGCGAAGCCATTCGAGGCTAAATGAACAAAAATATATAAATAAAATGATGCAGGAGCAGTCCTGTAAAATATATGTACGCATGTATTTGAAGAAATTGGGGGGGGGGGAGCAAACAAAAAAACGTTACTAAAATTAATACTTATGACAAAATATATATAAGAAAAAGTATTGTAGTTTTATGCAAAGTCAGTGACAGGATTGTTCTTGTTGATTGTTCAGCAGACCTAGGGAAAAACCTTATGTTTACACATTATTTCATCTTGTTTTTTTAAATACCTTTCGGCCCATCTTGTAAACAACTATATATTTTTAATTTTTTCATTAGAACATTTTTAATTTGTATTTGCGGCGCAAATTGTATTATAATTAAAAAATGAATAAAATTGTAACAATTGTTGCCATATTATTATAAATGATTTGACTGAAAACTCATTTCAAAGCAATAACGCTTTTACGCTATTTTAGAATAATTAATGGCAAAATTATAAGTTGGTCTGATTTATTTATTAGAAAAGCTGCTAAAAAAATTAAACTTCCATAATTTTTATATTTTTTCTTTTATTCAAGAAAAATATTCTATAATAAAAGAAAATAAAAATATTATATAATTGTACAAATATATAATTTAAATATTGCATTTAAATATTCGTTGTAAATCCCAATAACCTGTATAGTTTCTTATATAATTAGTAATTCGGAATATATATATATATATATATATATATATATATATATACTATTATCCTTTTCAATAATATGTAAAATTACCATTCCTAAGTACAAACATTTACTATTTTCTTTATTAAATTTAGAGCAGAATACTATAAAAATATTGATTTTGTGCCAATTTAAAACATTGCCATTTTAAAAATGTGCCAATTATTTCGCTGAACGTATAGAGAAGACATATAAAAATAAGGAATTTGATGATGTTATACAATATAAATAAATGACACAAGTAAGAAGAATATATATTCTTTGGAAAATTGAATAATATATACGTTAATATATAATTTTTATTATTTTTAAACTTGTTTGAACTTGCAAGTCAAGAATTTTAATGATTATTATCTTGTACTTGATAATCCACTATATAAAAGTTAATTGGTTTACTTAGATAAAATTCTTTGAATAAAAAAAAATGGATAACAAACAATATTAATTAATTTTGTTCAAATTTTGAAAATAATTGCATAAAATAGACGTATATGTATATATAGTTCAAAACATCTGTACGCAATAGTTTAGTGCAAATGGAATAAGCATATTCGCAAGCAAATACTCGAAACCGTTTTGTACTGAAATACGGATAATATGAAGCACAATATTAGAGATATATCTGACTGTGAATTAAAAATTGTAAAAGTTAGAATTAAATTTCGCATTGATATAAGAAATAAATTTGAGAGCATTTAATGCATATGAGTAAACTTGTATAGAGCATTTCAATCTTTCTTGTGATATAATCATATATAATTGATTAAGATAATATAATATAGTGACATAAATATAAATACATATGTATATATTCTATTATATATATATATATATATATTTATAAAATATGTATTAACATACATACGTATATATTACAATATATATATATTAATTACAAGCAAGGATGAATTTAATGTTTTTTAAAATATTTAAAATAAAGCAAAATTTTTAATTGGTTTTTACATATTAACTGGAAAAAAATTCATGTAAAAATTGATTTTTATGGCAACAGTATTTTGTTTATTGATGTGATATTTTGTAGTTTATGCATATTTCAGAGTAAAAATGATTAATAATAAAGTAATAACTTAAATCATAGTATTTCTACTATTTATTTTATTGATTTATTTTTATTTAAAAGTACTAATGAAATTGATAATCAAATTTGTGCGTGCAGAAATATCATTACTATACACTTTAAAATAATGATGTAATTTTTCAAATATGACATAGGTAAAAATAATTGTTCACATATAAATAAATTAATAAATTAAAATAAAATCTCCATGTACGAATCGGAACATAAATGGCGAACATTTGTATTTAATATTTTATTATCTTTTAAAATATAAGACTTATGCGTACTAACAAGAAAAGATCAAATAAAAATGATCTAACTTGGACAGAAATTTAACGTTATTGATAATTGAAATAAAATAGTCATTTTTCACATATTTTCGTGCAAACGTTTGCAACATATTAATAACATATTAGTATAAAAGTGAAATAATAATTTTTCAAATTATTTATATAAAACTTCATACTTAATATAACTTGTTATAATTTACATTATCCTTTTGAAATTTAAAAATGAATGAATGTAAATTTAAAAAGAAATTGCACTTATTTATAATCTTAATAGAGCCAGCGCAGATGATCATTTCTTAGTAAGGTGTCAGTGCCAATTGTAAAGAATATTGTAAACGAAACGATTTTTTCTATAAACATGATTATAATTTTGTAATATATTTAAATATATCTTTAATGAATAGACTTCAAGTTACTAGCATATATTCTAATATTAATACAATTCATTTTTGTATATTGGTGTGTGATAAATAAATAAAAATATTATTTCTAAACATATAATTTACTTTTTATTAATATTTTCCTTTAATAGCGTGTTTTAATAAAAATATTCTTATTTAATAAAAATACCTATAGTAAAATACGTCATTCAGTGTGATTGAAATATTAATTTATAAATTATAGATTTTTATTATAGGTTGTGTAAAAGTTATAATTATTTTTTTTTTTAATTATTTGTTTAATAATTTATTTTGAATAGTGTTCGGAATTGGAGCATTTTCCAAGAACTTAGGCTCTCGGAAATGTATAAGCCTTCTCTCTCTAATTTTGTAAACATTTGACTCCGAGAATTCTTGAATATTCCAAAGCTTTGCCTTCGAGTGTCCTACAATTTTTATTTGGTTTCCGCATTGCAATGTCGGTTGGAATTCTCATATCTTCTAAAGCGTTGGTTCTCAGAATTTTCGAAACTTTTAAACATTAGACTCGAACGTTCTGCAATGTTTTCCGTATAGCAACACCTATGCATCGTTGTCAGGCAAGTAAGCTGCCGTGTGAATATTTAAAGCAAGCACACGACGAGACGGCGCTTATAGTTTCTCCGCCAGGAAGCCAGTCAGTCGTGCTAGTCAGTCAGCTAGCTATTCGCCATACACTCTCAAGGTAAGGCCACCGAGGAAGGAAGACGCTTCAATTCTCTTGTGATGCAAGATAAAGGAGTTTGACACTATCCCCTTCAAATCAAGAAAGTGCCAGACTACAACCACAGTTAATTCATCCACACGGAGCATCCGGGATGGTAGAAGATTCAACACAGAACATGTCAAGGCTACTGTTCCTCTGTGAGTAAACTAAGTCTAAGGCTTAAATAATTGCTAATCCTTACTGTTCGATTATAAAGGTTTAATTTATGGCTCGAACTGCCAATTCAATAGTTCAGTGGATTAGTCTCTCGGCAGGATAACTTCAAAGGAAATAATAAGTGATAAGGCTGAAAAATATCGTGTATTTAGTAAAACAATGTTTATTATTGTAAATGATTATAACAATATTGCATTTTGATGTAGAGGGAAATAATTCTATTGAAGTAGTGAGGGTGTATTCTTGTATTCTTAAATTATTGTAGATGCTATGGGTTTACTGTGTCTTGAAGTTGAGGTAATGCTGATGTTGTAAATATCAGCTGGTGTAGTCAATCAATCATGCTTGTGAGGTAGCATGAGACGATGGTAGTCGAATCAAGTATGCTTGATGTATGAATAACTATACTTGATATGGTGTAAGATGTTTAATGGAATATATTACGTAATCAATTGTGTCTTTAATTATTTAAGGGAACGGTAGAAGAGCTAGTCACACACAAGTATTATTTATTATAAACCTTAGAAATCTTAAGGATTTCTGGAAAATGCCCTTATTGTTGATCAGTCGATATACTGAAGTCTGGCCTTGACTTGTTGCGTCATTTAGTTGACTATTTAAAGAATTCACGACCACGTGCTCGTCACCTGGTGACTATTAGAAAGAATGCGCGACCACGCGCTCATCACCTGGTGACTATTTCAGGACATGCACGACCACGTGCTCATCACTTGGTGATTACTTCAGAGAATGCACGCCCACGTGCTAACCACCTGTCGACTGCGTCAGGGGATGCAACAATTGCCCAGGTTTCTTGTAATAGATGTGACTAGTTTGTGTATATAAAAATAGGTACCTTGTGAGAGTGTGTTGATTGTTGTTTAATTAATGTTTCCTTTGATTACTATTTCATTGGCTTCACTGTAATCACTATTAAATCTGCTGATTTTTTATTCTTATACTCGCGTGTATTCTTATTATGATTCTTACTTATGCTGCCGAATATATGACCATGCGTCGAATTCACAGAATGCTAAAAACACTGAGCGGCAGTTACACTTGAATGAGCGCGAAGTGATATTACAATAAGCCTTTTGAATACGCGCACGAACCGAAGGCTTAATCATTCCGTGGCGGCTCTGCTGAAAATACCGACCGTTCCATGGCGGTCCTGCTGAGGGCAGATCGAGACCCGTGTGCCATGGTTTCTACTGATAGATGATTGAATCGGTTCACTATGGTCGGGTCACGGCAAGTTGTTGGCCGCAAGCGCAGTTGAGCGAGGCGTGCCGCGTGCGTCCCTTATATAGGCACGCGGTGGCTCACTTAGCTGGCAACAAGGCATCGTCGTTGTTGCACTAATTCTTACATGAGGCGTCGAAAGAAAAATCTAGAACCTTCGCGAATGTTCGACGAGAGAAAAGTAGGAGTAATACCCTTGGGTATTACTTAT